ACATTTTCTCCTGGCTTGTCTTCATAAAGCAGAAATGACAGATACTGATTCATTGTGGATTTCCAGCTTTGGGTACTGCAGCTTAGATAAGGAAGATCATAGGTTTCAAATTTAAGAGGCCTTACATCGTCAGGGTTCTTCTACAGGCTTTTTGTCCATGTATTTCCGTGTTCTAAAGCTCAAACATCCTTTGTTCCTTCTTTTTCAGGTCAGTCACCATGAACCAGGGCACTCAGCATGTTGCCCCAGCACTGGAGAAGCCACATTGTGGAGGCAATCTGTCACACTGTCAGAGACTGGGATTTGACTGGGTACCAACTGCTGTGCAATTCTGCAGAGCAGGAAAATCAGGAGCTGTTAAATAATGATTGACATATTGGTCGAAATGAAGTTTCCAGTAAAGAATTGACAGTGCAATGTGGATAATTATGGCCATAACTTAGGAAGAGTGTTGGTTCCCAGCCTGAACCTGCCTCTGCTGGAGCCATTTCAATAAAGCATTCTCAGAACAAAGAAGAGATGTGATTTGGTACCATTTCCCATCAGCAGGTGTCTGGACAAAACATCAATGTGAATAAGGGCCAAGTGCAGCCCTGTGTATCTTGATTAAATTACTTAGCAGTAAATAAGATTTGGGGATATTGTTTTAGACCTGACTTATCTAGTTTTTCTTCCAATAGCTCCCCCTGCCCCAATCTTGATTTTTTAAAAGTACATTTCTCTCCCTGGGGTGGGAAAACCCTAATGAACTGAAATAAGTTTTTGCTTTTAAATTGTTCTATCTGGTGTTTTTGTAATTAATTATTAAAACTCTTTAGTCATTGGTAATGACAAGATTTGTTTTGTTTTGTTAGAAAGATTTTATGAAGTAGTTTGATTGCATGGTTTAGGGAAAATCTAGCCTACATACAAAGGAATATGAAGACTATGAAGGAAACTATATTGAGTTCAAGAATCTCGGCAACTATCCAACACACAAAGCCTTTTGATGACTCTTGCAGGCTAGGATAAGTCACAGGCAGAGACCAGGTTTGAAGTGTTTCTTTTAACCCTGAGGCACATTTAAAAACTCTCAAAAGTTTGTTGCCATGATTTTTAGAAGAGTTTAAAACTAAATTTTTTCAAGCATCTAAATCAAGAGTCTGTGAAAGCTTTCTCTGTAGAAAGCCAGATACCAGATAGTTCAGGCTTTATAAGCAAATTGCTGCTTGTTTATGTTGCAACTACTCTGCTGGACATCCAAACAGTAACAATGTGCAAATGAATGAGTAGAGTGTATGCCAACAAAACTTTACTTACAAAAACAGGCATGGAGGCCAGACTTGGTACAGAGGCCATGTGTAATCTGTCAATCCCTAGTCTAAATAAACTGGAGAGGAATAGTTCCCACCCAGAAAAGAACCTCTCAGTGAGGGAAAGAAACAGACTAAGAACAGGATCCTACTGTGTTCTTCTATTAACAGATGATACTTATAAAATAGAGGACAAGATTAGCTCAGCCAGTTAATCTTTTATTATAAGTTTTGTTAAAAAAAAAGCTTTGAGAAAAATGTGTTAAATATCAGCAAAGGGCAGGAAAACGTGGTTAGCCTTACAATATCAATCTAAACATATACACAAAGGCAAACATTAAGTAAAATGGTAGGGAAAGGTAGCACTTTGGGGTCCTAATTGCAGTTTTCCTTATTGCACATAAAAGTTGTTGATAACTCCAAGTCTTCACTTTTTCACAGTTAAACACACTAATATTATTTTATATAACACATTTATATAATGTCCTGTAATGTTAGTTTTATAAAACCACCAGTTTTCTACTGTTAAATGGAAATAGAAGACAAAATTCTACCCAAATACAGTATGTAAGCTTTCTATAAAAAGATCCCCAGGAGGTTATAGCATCCCATGTTAAATTCATCCTATTTTTAAAAATTGCTTTTCAGCTATTAAATGAATATTGGTAGCCTTCCCATTTAATCATTTTAATGGACATAATAAAACTTCTTAAGTATGAAGTAACAGATGTATTTTATATAAAAAATGAAAAGACAACCTAGGAGGAAGTGACCTATGAATCCATACTTTGAATGATGGTTTCAGTGATAAATTCCCAACCCATAGACTTAACATCCAAACAATTGAAAATAATTTCTCTGTTTCTCCAAACCCCACAACTGGAAAAATCACAACAAAAGTCAACCTTCAAAGTCCATGCAGTAGTCACCCAGTAACACTGGCATCTTAACTTTTCTTAAGTGATTTAAGCAAAAGATGCAACATTCTTCATGCTGTTTACAAGCCCTTTCCTAAGTTCCTCCTACACAGGCCCAGAAAATTTTCCACTGGCCAAGAGTTAAGCTGACTGTGACATTTGGCAATTCTGTTAACCCTTTTTAAAAGGTAGCCATCAGAATGAGAAGGTGACCTCTCCCAAGTGCTCCTATACCTGTACCAGACCTTTTCAAAAGACAGCAGACCAGGCTGACCTCCCTTTTCCTCTTCACCAAGGCTCGTGGAGCAGAACACTGGCTGCCTGTGTGTCCCAAGAGGGCTTACAAGTGGTTAAAATATACCCTGCTTACAAAAACTAAAACTAACATTTGAAACTTTGGTTTCTTCCTTTACAATTTCTGCTAGCACTGGGTGAAAAGATGTGTACTTATGAAAAATGAAACTGAAAAGTTTTTTTTCTAGGTCTTATTTTGAAAGGATTGTCAAAGAGCCTACTTGCTTTTCCTAGTTGCATACTAGCATTGGCTTCAAGAGTATTTCTCTGTATATTCTGAGGTTTTAGAAAAGGGGAAGGTATTTTCAGTATCAAAGCAAAAGCAGCATTCAGATGGTTGTTTTCTAACTCTTGCTCACTAGATTCCTTCAACTTAACATAGCAGAATGCAGCAACTGACACTGGCAAGCCAGATTCTCACTTAAAAAACAAAATAAGAGATCAGAACTCAATGAGACCTGTCTAATGTATTTGACAAGACTAGCTCCTACACTAACTCATCTACAGAATCAACATCAAAAGGCAGGCATAAAACTTGCCAAGTTCCCCATTTCTGAAGTGGAATAAGAAGCTGACTTTCCAGCAGCCCTCATTTCCAGATCACATTTTACAGCAGATGGTAAACTTGGCTTTCTGACCCACCTCTAGAACTCACCATAGGTACCACGGTAGGCTTTCCAGTGGATAACTTTGCCCTCTGAGGATTTGCTCAGTTACCCTGCCACCAATGTGCCCTAGTGCATTAGTGGTGGTTCTACATTTAGAAATCATTTTGCTCACATTAAATATTGACATGATTACATTAACTCCCACCACAGAGAAAAGGAGAGAGATGATGGTGCAGGTTGGGGGCTGTGAAACAGACCTCTATTTTGGAAGGCTGTATTATTCTTTGCCCTAGCCTGAAATGTTCATGGATAGCTGAGACAACCCTTTTCATGTTTCCTAAAGAGATTTCACTTGTCAGTCAAATCACAGAGGACATTTTCAGTTGTAGAGGACACAGCCTAAAAAGCTCCTTGTTGTTTGCTTGATGAAACATTTGATGTCACAGCGTGATGTTCGGCTACAGGGCACCAGTGCTTACTTGCTGGTCATTCCAGTAAGTACTCTGCATGGTCAGAGTCCTTTTAGTTACATATGCCCTTTCTATCTATACTTGCTTCCTAGGAAGAAGTGCAGCTTTATGTAAGCTCCAAATTTCCTTCTCTAAGAGAGAAATGTCAGGCCTCCTGTAGTCCCCAAAAAAAGAGAATTAAGAGGAATGGCATAAGCTTTTATATTCCCTCTGTCAGTGTTATACAGAAGCCTGCATCTCCTTAATTACCTGCTAGCGACACCACCACCATGTGACAGCAGAGTGACAACCTTCCACTGAACTCTGGGCCCCTACTCTGGCAGTGAACAGACCCACCTTTATTCTGAGGAGCCCAGCCATGGCTTCAGGCATGGGGACAGGCAAAGTGTGAAGAGGAAGAAAGTTCACTTGACTCCAAAGGGGACTCCTGATTTAATCCCAGGTTAAAGTGAAAAGAGATCCTCTTACAAACCTTCACATTCGGTTAGTCAGCCCCTCAGTTAAGACAAAACTTTTCCTTCCGCAAATCAAGGCAAAGATGACAGGTTTTTAATCTCCCCCATGAATATATTCAAGTCACCCTTCTTTCCCTTTTATGCTTTAAGGTTTTCAAACGTGACCTTTTCAGCTGTACTCTGGGGAGTATGTTCTTGAGTTGTGCAAAAATTACTAGCATGAAACTCTTTTATGGCTGCCCAGTCTGTATTACTCTTAAACACTCAGTTTGTTCCACATAACTGACAATTAAAACACACTTAATTTTCTAGGGCATTCTTCAAGGTTTTCAACAGGGTCCACTGCAACTTCTAGACTAAAGGGTCTCAACCCCAGCTGCACATTAGAATCCCTGAGGATCCGAAACAGAGCATGGAAGCAGGCCCCACTCCAAACTTACTGATGCTGCATCTCTGATTGGAGGGAGGGCCCTTGCATCTATTAAGAAAAAAAAAACTGGCCAGCCAATGCTAATGTAGAGCCAGGGTTGAGAACCTCTGCTCTAGAACATCTGCCTCTGTGGACCTGTCAGCCCCCTAACCCAGAACCAATGTGTTTATAAGATGATTTGGGATTACTGTCTCCGAGGAACTTTTTAGCTGGATGTACCATTGCTCAGCAGTTTCCATCTGATTTCTGTCAGATGGGCAGCAGACAGTTGGCCTTAAGTTAGATGGTTTCAGGGGTACATGGCACCCAATTTTTCTCCACTCAGCATAGGCATAATGCTTCTAGAGGTGGAGGCATTTTGACGAGTGGACTCACTTCCCAGGACCCCTGGTAAGGTCAGGATTATTCAGTTTCTGGCAGCTGCTCTCTGCAGCCTGGCCCCATAACATAATGGCCTCCCATGCAGGGGCTCCCTATGAAAGCTGTTTCTCTGGCTGTAGGTCATAGGTTTTAAGTCCTTCACTATCTTAGGTAATCCTCATGGGGTTAGGTACATTGGTTAGCTTTTGTTTCAAACTTACAAAACCCATGGATGACCATAAAATCAAAACAGATGTTAGTGTAGAAAGGAAGGAAAGAGGTGAATAAAAATCATTTGGTTATATTATACTGAATCATATGAAATTGCCATTTCTGTTTTTTAAAATCATTCAGTATCAGCAATTTCATATGGTTCAACCTAGTAATAATTTTGTCCTGGTTTATACAAACTATCCATTCAAAAACAAAATGTGAAGCAATGTCTTATTTAAAAATTAACCATTAAAAATGTGAGTTAATATTAAATGGCTGGTTTCATTATGGGTGTACTAGACTGGGCCACTATTTCATCTTCCATAATAAGAAAAATGCCCACATCTTATGAAAGCATTTATTAAGATATTGGGTTTTCAAATATACTAGCACTGAAGCATAGAGACATGGGGAGAATTGGCAAACTTGGTTTCCAGGACCTCTCTCAGTATTTGACCTAAGTGTGGGCAGGTAGAACAGCTCACCCACAAAGAACCCAAACCAAAAACCTAAATTTCAAACCACACTCACACATTAAGCTGGTATAAGCCTCCCCGATACCAAGAAAATGACCCTTCTCTAAGTGGCACTCAGTGTCAATTCATCTGGATTCTTAATTTCATAGTAGCTAGAATCTTCTCCACTGGATTAGATAATGCTTGACTTTCCATTGATTTGCCTGATTCCTCATGTAGCCATGGAAATCTCATGCACTTGTTAGCTCAAAGTCTGGAATTCTACTCAGTCTTTAGAATTCACTCTTGTATTTTCTTTGTGGTTAATTTTTTTACAGTGAGATTTCTTCCCTCTGAATACTAGCCTATTGTCTCTTAGGCTTCTTGCTGCCTTCCCTTCCCCAGTAAAAGCATCCACAATTTTTGGTGTTATTTCTAAACCTACAGTACATAGCTCAGCCCTATTAATCACTCCCAGGCATCAGCTCATATGGTGGCCTCCAAGAACTGATTTTCGCAGTGATCTCATCCTCAGTTTCTAAAGTTTTTCCTGTCCTTAGATTAATAAACAATAGTGTAACACTATTTTGCCTTTGGTTTTAAACATTTCAGTAACTTCTTCATGGAAACTTCCAGAGATGGTTATTATCATTCTTTCCCCCATGTTGAAATGTTCATGGATATATTTTCCATTCTTCAGTCTAGAGGAAACACAGGTAGCAAAAAAGATCAGGAATCCTGATACAAGGCTGCTGTGACGCGGCCCTCGACGGAGCCTCTGCTCTCACAGCTTTTTCATGTTTGCTGTCCATTGAACACCAGCTTCCCATAATCCTTGGCAGTCTGATCGCAGTGGCCTTCCTTCATGGTCTTTCCTCCAGCCCATCCTCTCCTGACTAGCTATCCCTACAGCAGCTAGGCTTGTGCTTCTGGGCAGGGCCCAGAAGCCTCTCCTGGGAGGAATCCCCAGTACCTGCCACACCTTGTTAAGACACTGCAGGTGAGTGAATTAAGAGACCATTAAAGCATGCTATTTGTTTGTTAACTCTGCACAGCCACTACTACACTACATGAAAAAGTGGGAATGGGTCTGCACTTGTCTTGATTTAGAGACACTTCAGCCCCACCATCTGCATCCTGGGTGAAATTTTAAATATTAAGATACACTCAGACCTCCATAAACAGAAATGTTCGTTCCACTCAGTGCCCCCACGGCAAGTATAAGGGCTTGTGGCCACCCCTACTGCCCCCTGGGCCTGCCCCATCACTTCAGGTCGGGGGCAAAGTCACATATTATCTTCCAGGGGGAGCTCAAGGCGGGTGCCCCATCTTGAAACCTGGTCTCCCATTCCCAGGTCTCGGTCCAGCACCTCCTCAGAGCTGCTCTTTGTTCTGCGACCACCCTCAAGGCTCGTGGAGGCCGTGTGGGAGCCTGAGGAGCCGTTTGCAGTCACTGTGCTGTCCCCATAGGTCAAGGTGAGGTCACCTTCAGTCAGGATGAAATCCGAGTCTTCCTCTCTCGGCGGCTCTTGGTTCTGAAAAGTGCAACAAACAAAATGGGAGACTGGTATCTTCCAGGGCTGGAGCCAACCCCAATCTGAAAACTGGGGGGTTAGGAAACTTGCCTGCCTAGAGCCTCTAGTGTGAATACTGGATGTAAACTGTACAGTGCTATTCAGTGTAAGGCACCATTGCCTGAACTAAGACTTCTGACACCAGAAAGTAGTGCTGATTTTAAATGCCTAATAGCTCAGGGTTAGTGACAAAAGGGAAGAAAGGGCAACCAGCCTGGACCTTTAGCTTCAACCCCACAGAGAAAGGAAGGGGTAAGGTCTCCGGGAGACCTGCACACAGGTTTTGGTTCTTCTGTCCTCTGGATAGGACTAGGTTTCCACCCCCTCCCCCACCAAGCCCCCAGTTTACATTTGAACTACTCTTTGTCCTCATCTGCAATTGAGGGAAAAGGACAAACCATAATTAGGATTTCCTTCCTGTCCCCACAGAAAAACCCTGATGGGAAGCCCTCAGGTAGATGAAGTGAGAGATCAGAGGGAGGATACATTTTCTTGAGCATCTATTCTATGCCTGCCAGGACCTCACAGAAGCTCTCCTTTGATCCTTGTCCCTGCCCTGTGAAGGGCACAAACACTCATGTCACAGAAAAGAAAAGCAGAGCTAAGAAAATGTGCCTAGGGTGGTCCAGATGGTAGAAAGCTGGGTTGGGATGCATGCTGCCTCCAGACGGGATGTGCCACGAAGGATGTGGAAAGTATCTGTCAGGAAGAGGACTAGAATGGTACCTCATGCTAAGCTGCAGTTAGAGCAAAACAGACAAGGCTGAGCAAGGCAGGTGTTAACCAAGTGGCAGCCACTTTAAACTATAAGACAGTGGGAGTGTCAGGAAGCAGCATGTGGTCAGACACAACTTTCCCCCTCCAGTGGGTTTAACAGGCAAAACAAGATGTTTGCTGCCGTGCTGCACTCCCATCAAACATTGTGAACTTCTTTCTTGAATGGCAACCACACTATTTCAAAATGCTCTGGGGAAACTGCTCTTTTTTATTTCCCACCTACCCTTCAAACTCTGTCTTAAAGTCCTGTATCCACTACCCAACAACAGGGTCTCCTTGGTGCAGGACATGGTGCTCAGGAACGCTGCCCAAGGCCATGGGCAGATTCTCCCACGTCCTGCCTGGAGCCCCCAGCTCGATGGGAAAGCACCAAAGGGCAGTGCCTGCCTCCTCTTCTTGGCCTCCTTCCTTGAGGTGCTTCACTCATGGGTGGTGCTAGATAAGCGACTGTTAAATGCATCCACCCAGAGGACTCATGGGTTCTGCCTACCTCACTTCTGTCCCAGCCCATCTCTGTGTACTTAGTGGTAACAAGCACATGCTTGCTTCCTGCATTGCTTCTCAGTGATGTGAACTTATCCACACCCCAGTGTGACTCCACTTAAACAATGCCCAGCTTTTCTAAAGGGAAAGTATGCAACTCCTCTTGCTTGCTGCCTCAAATCCTTACTGGTGGCATGGTGTGACTGCAATTAAATAAGAATCCTCTGCACAGGCAGACTGTAATTTCTAAAACTCGCTCCACTCAACACTTACCAACTTCCTCCCCTCCATTCCTGTTTAGCAAGTCTTGAACTCAATCTGCCCTATGATAGTTTTCTTAACAACAAATTACATCATGTTCCCTGTTTTAGCATGTTCCTATGTTTTTGTTCATATGTGTCAAAATGCCTCTCCCAGGGCTCTGGGCTCACAATTTTCAAGGGGTGACCATCCTGGCATGTATTTTACTCTTTCAAGGTTTGGTGCCTTGGAGGGACAGAGAGGAATCCAAAACAACTAAATGTGAGTGTCATTCTGCAAATGGAGCTACCCCCACCCCCAGCCCAGAAGCACAGAGGAACAGGAGCCCCAGTGGCAGGTCCACTCTGACCCCCTCACTGTGGGAAGCAGGGCCAAAATTCACCAGCAGGAGAAAGCAAGACTGGATGTTGACTTATTCCGTTATGAAACTCATAAGCCCAGACAAATAGTCCCCAAGGGAAGGTCCCTGAGAAACAAGGACAGAGTAAAACCCACTGGAGAGGGATTTCCAAATCAGAGCTTATCGGATGTTATATGCAGATGATGAAAACAATCCTCTCCCTTGAATTCTAGATGACAGGGTCAACAGAAGTTTTGCTCAGCTAAAGGCTTGTATAATTAGATAACTATCAGTCCACTGAAGGCTGCCAGGGAAATAACCCTGCAAACCCCTGCAAACAGTGTGTTGTGGTAATGTGTGCATTTTAAATAACCAGGGGTCATTTTCAAAGAAAAGAGAACACAGTTTACTAGGTGGATATCAAACCAAAGTGGTTTAAAGTAGTGGAAATCATGAATAATGAACATTGTAGATATCTCACAAATCAACCTGCTGAAGTCCAAAACACCCTCTAGGTGATGGGTGAGAACCAGACAACAGTGTGACATTCAGCGAAGAGTGCATTCCAAGCCCAGACCCCAGTCCAGCACTATACTCACTGCCCCCACTCTCAGCAGCAGGCTTCACTATGGCTGGAGCTGAGACCCTAGGCAGGACTGCAGCCCACGCAGCAGCAGCACGGAGGGGGATTCTTGTAGCCCAAGTCTCCCCATCCCTGATGTGGTTGCCCTTTAGCCCTCTGAACCACCCTCTTACCCACCCCAGAGCCCCCAGCCCAGCCACACAGTCCGGGTGTCCACACCTGTTTGCCCTCTATACCACCCACAATCAAGTCTGAGCCTGCTGCCAGCCCTAGCAGAACTTACCTGGTTAGGGCCCTGCTCTCTCAGATCTGGGCTTTGTGTTCTGCTCTCTCACTGCTGATCAAGTAAGCTGTAGGTTATTTACTAGTTATCTGAAATCTGCATTAGGGTCTCTGTAAAGCTCTAAACAAATTTAAGAAGTTCTTTTCTCCTAGAGTAGAATGGGTGTTACTAACAAGATGAGTAGGATGGTGGAGGAAGAACCCCTAGTCCTTCTATGTGGGTAGCTACTGCTCTTGCCATCTCTCTGCCTGCAACCTAGATAAGAAGCTCAAGAGTCAGCCAGAAATCTAAGACATCCACAAGTGTGGATATTCTTTTCATACTGTACTGAGTCTATTTCTAGAATCTGCAAATAGAAAGGAAGGACCTGACCACATCAACATAAAGAAACTTTACAAAAATAATCCTTACATCTGCTAAACACTTTGTAGTTCACAGTACATCTTTCCATACCTTATCCTTTAATTCTCTCAGCCAGCCCATTTTACAGATAAGAAAACTGAAGTACAGTACAGTTAAATGGCCCAGGGCTTGGATTTGAATACAGCTGGTCTGATTCCTTATCTAGTGTTTTCTGCCACACCACAGCTGCTGATGTTGGGGAGCCTTATAGCCCTGGTAAAAGATTTCTCTGTCACTGCAAAATATATAAACATACATAAGTTGGCCATTTCTAATCATCTTATTAGAGAAGCAAAATCTATGCATTTGGAGACTTGAGTACAATAGGTTTCTTCTTTTTAGGCAAGAGACTACCCTGGCGTGGTGAGCAGGAATGCAACTCAGACATGCCACACTTACATCGTATACCTGAGGACTGGTCAGACAGCGAGCGAGCAAGCCACACCAGGCTGGGAGAGTGGAAGTTAAGGGGGGACCACTGTGCGTGAGGATGGGCTTCAAGTAACTTTAAAAAGAGAATTAAGGAAAAAATGGCTGCAAAGAAAACACACACCCAACAAAATGTGTTTAAAATCCCAAACACTAAATCATCCAGCATTCTACCCGCGAAAGTGGCTTTCCTCCACTTTACCAGCATAATACAGAAAATACCTGTACTCTGCAAGTCTGTACCAAAGAGTAAACCATGTCCCATTAGTCTGAAGTGTTAACTTAACTCTCGAGTTGGTGACTCTCAATTTTCAGGCCAAGGGAATATTTGACTAATTAGAACACCCTTCTCCCTTTGTTGACTGAGAATTTTGGTTTCAATCAGCATTCCAGCTTTTGACACACACCCAGCTCACATCTTGGAAACAGGACAGTGTACCTGAAGTGGAGATGTCACAGCCCTTGGGTCTGTGTAAGCATTCTTGTTAAAGCGCTCTATCCAGAGGTCACATGTTGGGTGGAAATGCCAGAGGTGCATGGGACCTGAGAGGTAACCTGGGGCTGCTACAAGGGAGGAGACTGAAGCTTGGTGAGGTGAAATGCTTTCACTAAGGTCACTCAGGCTTAAATCTCCCACCTTCCCATACAGGACTATTCTTCATTCTGCCTGCACCTCTCTCTCGACTCTCCAACATTCCCTTTGGGGCCAGATCATTCTTTGGTGTGTGGCTCTCTTGAGCACTGCAGGACATGTAGCAGCCTCCTTGGCCTCTACCCACTAGATGCCAGTAGTGTCCCCTCCCACTCCCCCCTGGTGTGATGGCAAATATGCCTCCTGACATTGCCAAATGTCCCCTGAGAAGCAGACTTGCCGTCAGTTGAGATCCCTGTGCTAACTTGGAGGCCAGCATGTGGAGAGTTCAGGGCTAGTCAGGTGGGTATCTGTACTGCCAAATGCAGAGTCCTGGGTTCAGAGCACCATGAAGCTCGAATCACATTATGACAGAGTGGGACCACTTCTGACCCCCACAGCCTAAGCAGTATGGAAGAGGTGGAGATCATAGTTACCTCAAGTGTAGAAATGGCCAGGAGACTTTAAGGAAGGCGAGAATGTGTCACAGCCATCTATACCCAAGAGGATGCCTGCTCTGGGCACCAAGACTTCCTGGCTTCATTTAGAGCAACACGAGAGAAAAAGCTTCTCTATAGGAGCTGAAAGGGAGACCCCAGGTATACCTCTAGGAGGGAATTACTCCACAAAAGAACCTTTATAAACAGAACAATTTCAGAAGTCCCCCTTTGACCACTGTCCTCTAACTGTATTCCTGGGAACACTTCACAGGCCTATCAGTTAACTTGTGCCCTTGCTCAGAAGTTGGCAGCGGTTGGATTTGTAGAATGACTAATGCAAGAGTCATGGGGAAACCCAGAGGCTGCTTTTCAGTTCCCAGCTGGGGACAGTCCAAAGATGAGGTCCCTCTTCCCCAAATACAGAAGGCCCTCTGACAACTGCTTTAAAAGAGGGGAAAAAATGTTTACATACAGGTTTTTAAATATTCAAATTGCTAGAAGGAAAAAATGAAATATCAAGTCTTTCTCCTACCCAGTTGTTCTGGTAATTACAACTTTACAGAATGCTGCTTTTTTAATTGAAGTATAGTTGACATACAATATTATATTAGTTTCAGGTATACAACATAGTGATTCGACTTTTGTAAACATTGTGAACTAGTCACCTCAATAAGCCTAGTTACCATCTACCACCATACAAAATTAATACAGTATTATTATCTAGATTCCTGTGCTGTACATTACAGCCCCATGACTTACAACTACTAGTTTGTACTTTTAGATCACCTTTACCCATTTTTGTCTTCCCCCAACCCCGCTCCCCTCTGGCAACTACCAATCTGGTCTCTGTATCTATGAATCTAGATTTTGATTTGTTTCCTTTTTTTCAGATTCCACATATAAGTGAGATCAGGTAGCATTTGTCTTTGTCTGACTCATTTCACTTAGCATGATTCCTTCTAGGTCCATCCACATTGTCGTAAATAGCAAGATTTCATTCTTTTTATGGTTGAGTAGTACTCCAATGTACATATACACCACTAGAATACATTTATTCCTATTTCTTGATTTGTAAACTTTAGTCAGAGGCTTTTAATGCCCTCCTATAAAGGATGGTAAATTTAATATTTATATTCCTGCCTCTTCAAGTTTTCTCCTAATTTTTATTATAATTAATTTTATACTGTAGATATATTAAATTTGCATTCTATTTTATAATTCACAAGTAAATATATGCTTCATCCGTATATGGATTGAGTCTAAATGTTAAAAACCCTTAAGCAGCATTTGTAAAATTATTATATATTATTCACTGTAACCAAGCAGTGGTTGGAACACTATTAAAGGAGATGTAATACAATACCATTTAAACTTTCTCAGTTACAAGAAAACAACTGTCTTGCTAAATAATCAGCTTTTCATTTTTTCATCTTCTTCACTTCTTTTTGGTTGTACCAAATTGCTGCTTCTTCAACATTGTCTCCTTAGTTGAATTTTGTTTTCTTTGATCTTTATGTTATTATGTTTTTTCCCCTTTTTATACAGTCTACATAGTGCTAAACTTTCTGAATTCTTACATGTCTGAAAGCTACCCTCCTTTTTTTCTTTTCATTTCTGATAAGCAATTTGGATCCAGAATTCTAGGCACAGACTTTTTCTTTTCATCCTACAGCTCTGGTAATGCTCGACGGTATTATAACATTTCAATTTGTTGATGCAATGTCTGATCCTTCCCCTCTCGAGGCTGCTAGTTTTGCAATGAACCTGTAGATCACTTTGGGTAGTATGGACTTTTTACAATATTAACTCTTCCAATCCATGACCACAGTTACCTTTCCATTTACTTGTGTCTTTTTCAATCTTTTATTTTTTGATGTATGGGGTGTTTTTTTTTGGTGATTCTTTTTTAGGTATTAGCATACAGATCTTTACTTCCTTGGTTAAATTATTCCTAAGAGACAGGGGATTAAAGATGGCAATGTGAGAGGTGAGACAGAGAACTCCTCCCAAAACCACATATAATACGAAAATATAGTTAATACAACTAATCCAAAAAGAACAACAGGAAAGAAGTCGGCACCAGAATGCATACACCTGGAGAAAAGAGTAGACCTCAGCAAACAGGGTAAAGTCTTGATCTGGTGGGACACAAGCCCTTCCTTGACCCCAGCTCACAGGCAGAGGAAGAGAAACTGAGCAGGGATGGGGGGAAGCCTAAGGCTGCTGAACACCCAGCCATGGAGATCTGCTTTGGGAGCATGAACCTATATTACATGGTGCTCTGGAGATTAGTGGGGTTGGAAAGCTAAGACAGGTGAAATACTTGGAGAGACTGGGATTCCAGCTGTTTGTGGAAAACAGGGATCCATATCTGGCTGCTCTGGGACAAAAGAAAGGCGGGCAGTGTGAGAGACTTCCAAACAGCTAGAGGGCTGCTAAAGAGGCAAGAATTGCACAGAGCATGCTGCTCAGGAGAAAGGATAGGTGGACAAAATAATCTGGGGGCACTCTGCCCAGCAGGTTGGGAACTTTCAGGAGCTTCAGGCGCTCCATCCCCCTGGCTGGCTACTTGGCTCTGAGGCCCGCCACCATGATACACAGCCTGCTGGGCCTTCCTCCCATCCTGCTGGCACAGGCTCGCAAACCAGCAGACCCAGCCCTGGAATTGGGCCAGCAAGAGGGAGGCCTAGCCTATGGTAGTTACAAACGCAAACCAAATCTCAGAGGCTGACACCTCTGTGCTCGGCCTACAGGTTCTGACAGTGGAGACAGGCACAGCAGCTGGGAAGCAGGAAACAGCTCTTTCCTCCCCCTCAGGCACCAGTACCACATCCCTGCAACCCACGACATCACTCCAGGGGCTGAGCAGCTCCAGAGAGTAGACCTTCTGGGCACTAGAGGGTGCCACATAGAAATATGAAACGTCAAAGGAACCTGTTTCAAACAGAAATCCCACAAACACTAGAAAAATGGCCAAGTGAAACTGAACTCATGAATCTTCCTGAAAGAGAGTTCAAAATAAAAATCATAAACATGCTCATGGAGATAAAGAAAAATATTCAAGAACTAAAGGATGAATTTAGGATGGAGACTCAATCTTTGAGAAATTCTACATCTGAAATGAAATATACAATGGAGGGATTTAAAAGCAAATTAGATGTAGTAGAAGAGACAGTAAATGGAATAGAAATTAGAGAAGAGGAATACAAAGAAGCAGAGGCAAAGAGAGAATAAAGGATCTCTAGGAATGAAAGAATATTGAGAAAACTGTGTGACCCATCTAAATGGAACAATATTCACATTATAGAGATACCAGAAGAAGAAGAGAGAGAAAAAGGGATACAAAGTGTCTTTGAGGAAGTAATTGCTGAAAACTTCTCAAATTTGGGGAAGGAGACAGACTCTCAGGCCATGAAGGTGCACAGATCTCCCAACATAAGTGACCCAGAAGGGAGTGGCATGTTATATATTTAAGGCAATGAAACAGAAGGGCCTTGAACCAAGAATACTCTACATGGAAAGATTATCATTTCAATTTGCAGGAGGGATTAAACAATTTCCAGATAAGCAAAAGCTGAGAGAATTTACCTCCCACAAATGACATCTACAGTGTATTTTGGAGGGACTGCTCTAAATGGAAGTGTCCCTAACAGTAAAGAGCTGTCACCACAGGAAATAAACCACAGCAAAGAAAGTAGAACAATTAATTACTAAGCAGATGCAAAATCAAATCAACTACCCCCAAAGTCAGTCAAGGGATAGACAAAGAGTACAGAATATGATATCTAATATATAAAGAATATAAAGAATGGAGGAGAAAGAAAAAGGAGGGAAAAAAAAGAACCTTTAGGTTGTGTTTGTAATAGCATACTAAGTGAATTAAATTAGATTATTAGATAGTAAGGGAATTACCCTTGAACCTTTGGAAACCAGGACTCTAAAGCATGCAACGGCAATAAGTACATACCTATTGATAATCACCCTAAATGTAAATGGTCTGAATGC